TTCGAAAAGTGTAGGACCGAGGAGAAAACAATAATATTTGAAAATTTTACAAAAATGTAAATTATTTGTAACCACCTGAAAAACCCACTAGTTACAGACCAATTAGTTTACTTTGCACCTTGAGTAAAGTAGCTGAAAAGGTTATTCTAAAACTTTTTAAACGACATACTGAACTAAACAAACTAATTCCAAACACCCAATATGGGTTCAGGAATCACCACTCTACTTTACACCCTCTATCTATATTAAATACCCACATTAAAGAAAAATTCAAAGTAAAACAACATACCGGAATGATATTATTAGACATAGAAAAAGCCTTCGATACAGTTTGGCACGAAGGGTTGCTATTCAAAATGATTAGCCAAAAGTTTCCAGCAAACCTAACACACATAATAAAATCTTATCTCGAAAATAGATATTTTAGAGTCATGATAAATTCCTCACATTCAAATCCCATCCATATTACCTCCGGACTCCCTCAAGGCTCCATCCTTTCACCCGCACTATTCACCTTTTACACACATGATTTCCCACATAACAACGACACCGAACTATTGATGTTCGCCGACGACACCGCCATTTTTACGTCAAACAAATCTTTCAAAAAAATAGAAAAGAACTTACAACACCACTTACACAATATATCGAATTACTTTGAAAAATGGAAAATAAAGTTAAATGTAAAGAAAACAGAGGCTATTCTATTTACTAGAAAAACAAAAAAATTTATTCCTCAAAGACCAGTTAAAATTAAAAATGCGAGCATCCCATGGAAAATACAAGTTAAATACCTTGGACTGTTGTTAGATAGGAAAATGAACTTTACAGCAATGATTAATAATAAACTGGCTCTCAGTCATTCCATAATGCAAAAAATTCAACCACTTCTACGTAACAAGAAACTGAATTTAAAAAATAAAAGACGGCTTTATCTTGCACTGATAAGACCAATCCTAACATACGGTGCTCCTGTCTGGAGCAAAACTTCAAAATCCAATATTACTTTATTACAAAGAATGCAAAACAAAAACATCAGAATTATTTTAAATAAAGTTTTTAATGAAAGAACAAATAAGTATTACTCTAACAAAATATTACATAAAGAAGCCAATGTTCCACTTATATCAGAATTCATAACCATCCTAAATACCAAATTTTTAAACAACTGTGAAATGAGTGAAAATTTAACAATTAAGAATATATCAAATATAGCACTAGCAAGTTAAAATTTTATTCAAATATTATAATAAGTATAAGTTTTTATTCGTTACTGTTATTATATTATTCTATTTAGTTTTAAGAGTGTACATAATTTGTTAGCTAGTTTTAAGAGTGTACATAATTTGTTAACTAGTTTTAAGAAATACTAACTCAATGAAGTATGTTTTTTTTTAAGCTATTTTCATACTAACCAAAATAAGAGCATCAATTTAAGCAAATAGACCTAAGTATATATATATAAAATTCCATAATAAATTGTAATAATGCCGCAAGGCAGGTGTACAATTAAAAATATCACATGTAACATACAACTATTGTAATATGTAAACAATTCTAAGGAAAATAAATAGTTTTGAAATCAATCAATCAAATTATTTGTAAAAAATTAAATCCAGCGCTTTTATTCTAAATAATTCGCATAAAACAATGGATTTACATGATAGCCAAATTCATCCCCAACATATCATCAAAAGCATGATTTATTTCAACGGTTAGTTTTTCTAAAATATCGCTAATTATATTCAAATAACTTCTGCACTCAATAGTGCGTTTTCAACAAAATCGTTATCGCATTTTTATGAGCATTGAGATATGTTATATTTTGATGCGATGTAATTATACTTATATTTCCTAGAAACAGTTTTTGTAAATTTTTATTCATAAATAGTATCATAATTGTTCATAAACTGTCATTGAACATTCATTTGAGTACTCTATGAATCTATACTGAACAATAGCTAATATAAACGATTTGATTAAATAACGAATATAATATTTTATTAAAATAAAATATTATTTGTATGAAATAATTAATTATATTTACGATGTAATACACTATCAATACACCAACGCATAAAATTCGGTTAGAAATCATTTGTGTAAAACATTATGTCGCGTCGTGCATTCAAGTTCAAGAATATAATTTTGAACGCATATTATATTTACCAATATTTTTTTGTGTGTGCTCTATTCTCTTTTTGCATAGTATCTAATAAAATAATATTATCGTTATAATTAATTATTTCATTCGTAGTTTTCAAAAGAACGATAAAATACAAAACAGTAAACAATTGTACTGTTGTTTCTTGAAATAACTTGAGTCAAAAAATTCACAAACTGTTTATTCTGTAAAATCATAATATTTCTATCATATTATATTTTATTAAAATAAATCGAATGTATAAATAATTTAGTCATTAATAATAAAATATAATATTTATGTTTTTTTTTTTTTTTAATTCAATTGTATAGAATAAAATAATAATATCTTATATTCATTGCCGAGAAAAGATTATATATTAGTTGATATTTAATAAATATTATTTTATTCTTTTATTCTTGAATGCTTGCTGAACTGAATATGCGGCTCTGCTGCTATATCTAAACACGCTGACCGTGAATAACCGTTTGTTCGAGGGTCAGAAAACATGCAAGATTTTAGCCTAAATGGTGATTGTTATTAGAATTGAATGACTGGAGAACCATACGAAATTTTAACAATGTATTATAATTTATATGGTTTCTTTATGAAAATATAGAAATATTGTCAATAATTGCTGCAATCTAAATGTAATTTGCATTTCAATAAGTGATCAATCACACAGATTGCTCTCTACTAGCTAAACAGTAAAAGATACGAAAAAACTTTGTTCGTACGAAAGATGCAGAATAAAATCACGAATAAAATGATATATAAATCGTTATGTGTGTTCATATAATTTTTTCGAGATTATCTAATTTTTCCTAAATTTTAAGGAAATATGTAAATAATACCTAAATATACAAAATTTATATTCGACAATAGTAAAATTTCATAATAATTCATTATAACTTTATAATAATACTATTATAATTTTATAACAATTCATTTATTTATGATTATTAATAAATTTTGTACGATAATTATTAGTAAATCTTTCCACGATCACTAAGCCACGCCCTTTTTTAAAAACACGCGTCAAAATTAACTATAATATTATTATTTTGTTTATGCATAATCATTATTTTATTCTCCTTGTCGAGACTAACAAAATGCTATAAGGTATTATGATATTGACATTGATATCTAGCGTAAATGTTTGTTGAAACATTTAGGCCACTATACAGCGTAAGTTCCTAAACACGACGACCGTGAATAACCGCTCGTTCGAGGGTCAGAAAACATGCGAGATTTTAGCCTGAATTGCGAATGTTATAAAAATCAAATCATTAACAAACCCTACAATTTTTTTTTTTAAATATACAAATTCTATAATCGATATTAGTGAAATTCAATAATAATTGATAACATAATAATATATAAATGTGTTAATATTTGATAATAAAACAAGAATTATTTATTTGGTTTTAAAATCACTACAAAAATTAATATACTTATATAGATTTTTTTTTATATTTATTTTAAATGTTTTATAACAACGTAACTAATAAATAAAGTTATTATTTTGTACATTTATTTATGATTATTAATAAATTTTGTACGATAATTATTAGTAAAACTTTCCACGATCACTAAGCCACGCCCCTTTTTAAAAACACGCGTCAAAATTCACTATAACATTATTATTTTCTTTATGAATAATTATTATTTTATTCTTCTCGTCGAGACTAACAAATTGCTATAAGGTATTATGGTATTGACATTGATATCTAGCGTAAATGCTTGCTGAAACATTTAGGCCACTATACAGCGGCAGTTCCTAAACACGACGACCGTGAATAACCGTTTGCTCGAGGGTCAGAAAACATGCGAGATTTTAGCCTGAATTGCGAATGTTATAAAAATCAAATCATTAACAAACCCTACAATTTTTTTTTTTAAATATACAAATTCTATAATCGATATTAGTGAAATTCAATAATAATTGATAACATAATAACATATAAATGTGCTAATATTCGATAATAAAACAAGAATTATTTATTTGATGTTGAAATCACTACAAAAATTAATATACTTATATAGATTTTTTTTATATTCATTTTAAATGATTTATAACAACGTAACTAATAAATAAAGTTATTATTTCGTACATTTATAACCTTAAATATTCTTTGATTCATTCAAACAAATGTTGTTATTTATATTTATTTAAATAAAAATATCTAAATCAATTAAATTATATACCGAATGTTATGATAAAAAAATTAAAATAAATTAAAATGAGTATTGAATAGTAAATTAAATAGTATTATAAATAAAATAGTAAAATAATAAATAAATAGTAAAATAATATATGTTCATTTTTTGAATAAAGTTGTTCGTCCTGAGAAGGACGGTTTTATGTCAATTTGCGACAATAAAAGAAATTTAAGCTTTCTTTTCTGTCTTCTTTGGCAAAAGCACAGCTTGTATGTTCGGCAATACACCGCCCTGAGCAATCGTAACACCCGATAACAGTTTGTTGAGTTCCTCGTCATTGCGGATGGCCAGTTGCAAATGACGCGGAATTATTCTGGTCTTCTTGTTGTCGCGAGCCGCATTGCCGGCTAACTCGAGAACTTCGGCGGCCAGATATTCCATGACTGCAGCGAGGTAGACGGGTGCACCAGCGCTGACACGCTCGGCATAGTTGCCTTTGCGTAGCAAACGATGAATACGACCGACTGGAAACTGAAGACCGGCACGGTTAGACCGTGACTTAGCCTTTCCCTTGACTTTACCGCCTTTGCCTCGACCAGACATGTTTACAGGTTCGTGTTCAAACTGAGAATGATATCAAAGTTCTCGAACGGGCCCGTATAGATTTCTGAGCGTTGCAAGCACACGCCCATTTTTTTGTAGACACGCCCCTCCCTTGCCTACGTACGTTGTTACGGCTTCAGTCAAAACGTTGAAGCAGTACGAAAACGGAGCGTCGGCACGACTCATTTCGTATCAGTCAGTGTACTAGTAAACATCAGACATGCCACCGAAAACCAGCGGTAAAGCGGCTAAGAAAGCAGGCAAAGCCCAGAAAAATATTTCAAAGGGCGACAAGAAGAAGAAACGTAAGCGCAAGGAGAGCTATGCCATTTATATTTACAAAGTCTTGAAACAAGTCCATCCTGACACGGGCATTTCGAGCAAGGCGATGAGCATCATGAACAGCTTTGCGAATGATATCTTCGAGCGTATAGCGGCCGAGGCATCGCGTTTGGCTCACTACAACAAACGCTCTACAATCACTAGTCGGGAAATTCAGACAGCATGCCCAAAAAATGGACGACAAATTTGTTAGTTTTTTTAATTTTTCACAGACTTCCCGGGCACGTAGAAGCTTCAATTAAACGTCAGGCGAATTGTCTTGTGGGCTAGAATAACGCAAAAAAAACTGCATTTTAATATTCTCAACGGTTGCCGAATAAATACGAAAAAACTGAAATTATAGCATGATGCTAGGGTCACGTATTGTATTCCGATTTTGGATGAAAATTTTTTGTTTCCGATTTTGATGATTTTTACAATGTTGATACCTTATGACATAAGAAAAATGCTATTAAAAAATTTCGGTCGCACTTCAAATAGTTTTCGAGAAAAACGCATTTTTAATATGTGACAAGGAGCGATTGGTTTTTAGCGAATATCTCGGGAACGGTTAGAGCTATCACAAAAATTTTTGCACCTGCAGATACATATTTTAAATACGCATATTTCATTCATACACACCATAATCCTATGTTGAATATTTTCCGAGATATAGGCGTTTAACTGTTTCAAAGTTGAAAATTTGAAACCGTTTTTGGCGTATATCTCGCGAACGGTAAGAGGTATCTTAAAATTTTTTATACTGGGTTAAAGATCTTTTGATTTATAATATTTCATCTGAAAACATCAATATCCTATGATGAATCGTTCAAAAGTTATGAGCGCTTAAAGATTTCATGAGTAAAAAATGGACGAAAAATTTGTTAGTTTTTTTAATTTTTCACAGACTTTCCGTGCACGTAGAAGCTTCAATTAAACGTCAGGCGAATTGTCTTGTGGGCTAGAATAACGCGAAAAAAACTGCATTTTAATATTCTCAACGGTTGCCGAATAAATACGAAAAAACTGAAATTATAGCATGATGCTAGGGTCACGTATTGTATTCCGATTTTGGATGAAAATTTTTTGTTTCCGATTTTGATGATTTTTATAATGTTGATACCTTATGATATAAGGAAAATGCTATCAAAAAATTTCGGTCGCACTTCAAATAGTTTTCGAGGAAAACGCATTTTTAATATGTGACCAGGAGCGATTGGTTTTTAGCGAATATCTCGGGAACGGTTGGAGTTATCATAAAAATTTTTGCACCTGCAGATACATATTTTAAATGCGCATATTTCATTCATACACACCATGACCCTATGTTGAATATTTTTCGAGATATAGGCGTTTAACTATTTCAAACTTAAAAATTTGAAACTGTTTTTGGCGTATATCTCGCGAAAGGTGAGAGGTATCTTAAAACTTTTTATACTGTGTTAAAGATCTTTTGATTTAGAATATTTCGCCTTAAAAACATCAATATTTTATGATGAATCGTTCAAAAGTTATGAGCGCTTAAAGATTTTATTAGTAAAAAATGCTCAAAAATGGACGAAAAATTTGTTAGTTTTTTTAATTTTTCACAGACTTTCCGGGCACGTAGAAGCTTCAATTAAACGTCAGGCAAATTGTCTTGTGGGCTAGAATAACGCGAAAAAAACTGCATTTTAATATTCTCAACGGTTGCCGAATAAATAAGAAAAAACTGAAATTATAGCATGACCCTAGGGTCACGTATTGTATTCCGATTTTGGATGAAAATTTTTTGTTCCCGATTTTGATGATTTTCATAATGTTGATACCTTATGATATAAGGAAAATGCTATTAAAAAATTTCGGTCGCACTTCAAATAGTTTTCGAGGAAAACGCATTTTTAATATGTGAGTTATCATAAAAATTTTTGCACCTGCAGATACATATTTTAAATACGCATATTTCATTCATACACACCATAATCCTATGTTGAATATTTTCCGAGATATAGGCGTTTAACTGTTTCAAAGTTGAAAATTTGAAACCGTTTTTGGCGTATATCTCGCGAACGGTAAGAGGTATCTTAAAATTTTTTATACTGGGTTAAAGATCTTTTGATTTATAATATTTCATCTGAAAACATCAATATCCTATGATGAATCGTTCAAAAGTTATGAGCGCTTAAAGATTTCATGAGTAAAAAATGCCCAAAAAATGGACGAAAAATTTGTTAGTTTTTTTAATTTTTCACAGACTTTCCGTGCACGTAGAAGCTTCAATTAAACGTCAGGCGAATTGTCTTGTGGGCTAGAATAACGCGAAAAAAACTGCATTTTAATATTCTCAACGGTTGCCGAATAAATACGAAAAAACTGAAATTATAGCATGATGCTAGGGTCACGTATTGTATTCCGATTTTGGATGAAAATTTTTTGTTTCCGATTTTGATGATTTTTATAATGATGATACCTTATGATATAAGGAAAATGCTATCAAAAAATTTCGGTCGCACTTCAAATAGTTTTCGAGGAAAACGCATTTTTAATATGTGACCAGGAGCGATTGGTTTTTAGCGAATATCTCGGGAACGGTTGGAGTTATCATAAAAATTTTTGCACCTGCAGATACATATTTTAAATGCGCATATTTCATTCACACCATGACCCTATGTTGAATATTTTTCGAGATATAGGCGTTTAACTATTTCAAACTTAAAAATTTGAAACCGTTTTTGGCGTATATCTCGCGAAAGGTGAGAGGTATCTTAAAACTTTTTATACTGTGTTAAAGATCTTTTGATTTAGAATATTTCGCCTTAAAAACATCAATATTTTATGATGAATCGTTCAAAAGTTATGAGCGCTTAAAGATTTCATGAGTAAAAAATGCTCAAAAATGGACGAATTTACAATGTTGATACCTTATGACATAAGAAAAATGCTATTAAAAAATTTCGGTCGCACTTCAAATAGTTTTCGAGAAAAACGCATTTTTAATATGTGACAAGGAGCGATTGGTTTTTAGCGAATATCTCGGGAACGGTTAGAGCTATCACAAAAATTTTTGCACCTGCAGATACATATTTTAAATACGCATATTTCATTCATACACACCATAATCCTATGTTGAATATTTCCGAGATATAGGCGTTTAAACTGTTTCAAAGTTGAAAATTTGAAACCGTTTTTGGCGTATATCTCGCGAACGGTAAGAGGTATCTTAAAATTTTTATACTGGGTTAAAGATCTTTTGATTTAGAATATTTCATCTGAAAACATCAATATCCTATGATGAATCGTTCAAAAGTTATGAGCGCTTAAAGATTTCATGAGTAAAAAATGCCCAAAAAATGGACGAAAAATTTGTTAGTTTTTTTAATTTTTCACAGACTTTCCGTGCACGTAGAAGCTTCAATTAAACGTCAGGCGAATTGTCTTGTGGGCTAGAATAACGCGAAAAAAACTGCATTTTAATATTCTCAACGGTTGCCGAATAAATACGAAAAAACTGAAATTATAGCATGATGCTAGGGTCACGTATTGTATTCCGATTTTGGATGAAAATTTTTTGTTTCCGATTTTGATGATTTTCACAATGTTGATACCTTATGACATAAGGAAAATGCTATTAAAAAATTTCGGTCGCACTTCAAATAGTTTTCGAGAAAAACGCATTTTTAATATGTGACAAGGAGCGATTGGTTTTTAGCGAATATCTCGGGAACGGTTGGAGCTATCACAAAAATTTTAGCACCTGCAGATACATATTTTAAATACGCATATTTCATTCATACACACCATGACCCTATGTTAAATATTTTCCGAGATATAGGCGTTTAACTGTTTCAAAGTTGAAAATTTGAAACCGTTTTTGGCGTATATCTCGCGAACGGTAAGAGGTATCTTAAAACTTTTTATACTGGGTTAAAGATCTTTTGATTTAGAATATTTCGCCTAAGAACATCAAAATCCTATGATGAATCGGTCAAGAGTTATGAGCGCTTAAAGGTTTCGTGAATAAAAAATGCTCAAAAATGGACGAAAAATTTGTTAGTTTTTTTAATTGTTCATAGACTTCCCGGGCACGTAGAAGCTTCAATTAAACGTCAGGCGAATTGTCTTGTGGGCTAGAATAACGCGAAAAAAACTGCATTTTAATATTCTCAACGGTTGCCAAATAAATAAGAAAAAACTGAAATTATAGCATGACCCTAGGGTCACGTATTGTATTCCGATTTTGGATGAAAATTTTTTGTTTCCGATTTTGATGATTTTCATAATGTTGATACCTTATGATATAAGGAAAATGCTATTAAAAAATTTCGGTCGCACTTCAAATAGTTTTCGAGGAAAACGCATTTTTAATATGTGACCAGGAGCGATTGGTTTTTAGCGAATATCTCGGGAACGGTTGGAGTTATCATAAAAATTTTTGCACCTGCAGATACATATTTTAAATGCGCATATTTCATTCATACACACCATGTTGAATATTTTCCGAGATATAGGCGTTTAACTATTTCAAACTTAAAAATTTGAAACCGTTTTTGGCGTATATCTCGCGAAAGGTGAGAGGTATCTTAAAACTTTTTATACTGTGTTAAAGATCTTTTGATTTAGAATATTTCGCCTTAAAAAACATCAATATTTTATGATGAATCGTTCAAAAGTTATGAGCGCTTAAAGATTTCATGAGTAAAAAATGCTCAAAAATGGACGAAAAATTTGTTAGTTTTTTTAATTTTCACAGACTTTCCGGGCACGTAGAAGCTTCAATTAAACGTCAGGCAAATTGTCTTGTGGGCTAGAATAACGCGAAAAAAACTGCATTTTAATATTCTCAACGGTTGCCGAATAAATAAAAAAAACTGAAATTATAGCATGACCCTAGGGTCACGTATTGTATTCCGATTTTGGATGAAAATTTTTTGTTTCCGATTTTGATGATTTTCATAATGTTGATACCTTATGATATAAGGAAAATGCTATTAAAAAATTTCGGTCGCACTTCAAATAGTTTTCGAGGAAAACGCATTTTTAATATGTGACCAGGAGCGATTGGTTTTTAGCGAATATCTCGGGAACGGTTGGAGTTATCAAAAAAATTTTTACACCTGCAGATATATATTTTAAATGCGCATATTTCATTGATACACACCATGACCCTATGTTGAATATTTTCCGAGATATAGGCGTTTAACC